ACTGCAGAGGCTCAAGGAAGTTTCTGACTCAAAAGTCGGGCTGAGCAGTAGGAGCTTTCAACATTGCAAGTGGTTTTCATGTACGTATTCAACTAAATATATACACACGTTTTTAAGTTGTGTAGATAAGAGGAATATCTGCACAACTGTACCAAACAAATAGTGGGCAACAGATCAATGAACAACTGGATGAAATTCCATTGCAAGTCAGAAGACTGAGGAGACAGGGCAATGTTACACTCTCCAAGTTATCGATATTCAAAGGCAGAAGAACCAAGACAGACCCCCCAAATGGCATCATGCCAGCACCCCTGTTGTGACTACTGTACACTGGGCCATGAGCCACACAAACCCAGAAGCATCTGCCAAAGGTCTCAGGCAGCTGTGCAAGCGCGCTCTGACATTTGTTCAGCTGTTGTGAAGTGAGAAGGATGCATATGCCCAAGATTCCAACAAGCATTTTTTTTCTTCATTTCAGAACAATATGATTAGAATGCATTTTTAAAAATTTATTCTGATTTTACCATTGTGAATATAAATTTATATGGATGAATGCATCTACTGCTTATCTCCACCACTAATAGAATATATCATACCACTCTAAGAAATGGGTAATGCTGAGCAAATGAAAATAAATTACTCTTTTCACCTAAGAACAGAACTATTGCTTAAAGAGGCAGGTGCCCTTCACCAGGCAATTCAAAATGTCTTTTTTTTATAATCATTTGTCAAAATTCCATCACGTTCCTTCTCCCCTTTCATACATATGAGCATCACAATTTCAAGGAAAATGATTTAATGGTAAAATCTCAGATTGTAGCATAGCCAGCTCACTTTATATCTATCAATAGAGTTACTACATTGTAGAAATGAATTCAGTGGACATGTTAAAAATATGACCTGATACTGTCCTCCAAAGGAGAAAAAAATAACAAAACGGAAAAGAAAATTATAAAGACTTTACTGCCAATCTTTGTTGGCTTTCGCATTTATTATAAAAACTCAGTGTGTAGGAGTTAATTATATTAGTTATCTTGGGTATAACAAGCTATTAATTTTGTGCTTCACAGTTATTAACCACCTTTCTATATGCCATTCACAAGTGAATGAATGGGCTTAATCCGTGTATTAAAACACAAAACAAACCAAATAATCCCATGTTTCATGACTTTTCAAAATTGATTATCTACTTGGCAATGCTTTACTAGAGGCCAGATACATAACTGCCACTTTAAAAAAGAATCTCTGGCAGTTTATATGAGAAGCTTTTTAAAGTGGATTTAATCAGACTTTAATAGTCATTTCTCTTAAGACCAGACATAAAAGGTTACTAAGGAAAAGCATATTTTTCCAGTGATTCAACCATATTGGATAAGTCAAATTTCTTCCAATGATAATACACTCCTCAGAGAATCTGCTTTTGTTTAGTGTGACGTAGAGTGAGGCTTTGAAAATTTAAACATTTCGAAGGAATAAAATATTTAAGTTGATAACATTTACTGTCTAAAGGAGTTTGTAAGTTTCCTTTTTTGGACATGCTTAATACTTAAAATGTAATAACGCTATTTAATTCTAAAACAGCAGTTTTATATAGATAATGATCTTTATCTCCTGATTATCAAAGGATATATTACTTGTAAGAAGCATTACATGTGTAACATAATTTCCAGTAAGTGAAATTTATTGTCATCAGTTATGATGTTTATCTGAATCTTAAAATGAAGAAACCAGACAAACCTTAGCATAAGAGTATCTCTGCTCAAACAAGCAAACATCAGCTACATGTGCCAAGATACCCAGCAGACATTTACTGTGAATTTTTGTTGATTATTAAAGTCTAATCACAGAGCAAAGGTCTTTGCATGCCCATAAAATTAGGAGACTGCTGTCATAAAATTAAGAATTATTAGAAAAATTTCTGCACAGGAAGCAATTTAATAAGAGAGTACCTATTTTAGTTCTATTTAGATAGTACTCATATTGCGAAAGTATTATGTAAAATATAAACTTTGAATAAGTTGTAGTGGTAAACTATGCTTTCATGAAACTCATGTTTTAGTTCTACTGCTATACAATATACCTCATTTTATAAGCTTTTATTTTTCTTTTAAATTCATCCTGAAATAATATAATAGAGAGATTTCTGATTCCCAGTTGAAGTTTTCTGATTTCAAATATACTAATGATGTTAGCATATAAATATCAGTAATTAGATAAGATTGCATAAGTATCCATCAACAGCTATCAGAGGGGGGAGAGTTATGTGAAATCTAAAATTTTTGGAAATTACTCTGAGTATAATTAAGTCGTATTGTTATCATACTTGAGCTTTAAATAAATTAAAAAGCCAAATATTTTAAGATGTGTTTGAACATAAATAGCTATGTGATGCAAATGGTAGCCCATTAAAAATCCTTTTCCTGTCTTATTTCCAATAAGGAAATACAATATAGGAAAAAGTTTACTATATTTTAAAGAAAATAACTGAAAATTTTTTTACTTTGGAAATTTATGCTTGAGTGAAAAAAAAGTGCTCATAAAATTGCACATGTATGTGAAAGGCCACAAGTATGAATGAGATATAATTTATTCTACAATGGAAAAGCTCAATTTTACATTACTTATTTGTAATATAATTTATAGGTTCAATATAATTTCAGTGAAACCAGTAAGAGATTTTCTTGGAAACAAGGAGAAGATGGTATTTCATGAGTTGGAAAGGACAGATGTGTAAGAAAAGTTAATAGATTTATAAAAATTAAATTCTTATTTAAGACTTTCAATCATAATAATCATTTTATAGCAACAATTATATAATTGATATGTTATTTATAGTAAGATAAATACAAAGAATATCGCTGATGGCATTCATAATAGTTAAAAACTGTAAACAAGCTATCATTTGGGAATAATTAAGCAAATAATATCTCATTCGTGCAATGATACACTCCCCTGTCATTAAGAATGATGATACATTTTGGATTCATTTTCCAATGAGATAGGCAAGTTCCAATGAAAAAGGAAAGTTACAAAATAGCATACAAGACATAACTGAATTATTTAAGCTTTTAGGCTTATTTTTAGCTTTTATACTTTTTGATATTATTGGAACAAATCATGATAACAGTACACTTTTTAAATCAAGACACATGAACATTTTTGTGTACAAATTTATGGGTAGATCCTGAAATAAAGTGGATAGAAAAAGCTTATAGGTGAAGAATCCATAGCATAAGACTTGAAGATGATTTCCATAATGTTAGGGACTTTGCAGTCTGGAAAACACTACACTGTGTAGAGGAATCACATGAGCTTTACTTTCTGGTTTCTACTGTCCTTTTTTGATTGCTAGTATAAAGGTGAACACAGCAGTGAGGTGGTCTCATTCACATTACTATACCTTTCCTCAGTCCTTGCACTTATGAAAGCTAAACTTTCATGCTGTACTTGCATAACTAAAGTGAATACTAATCCAATAAGTACATCTCTTGACACTGTCCCAGTGATTTTATATGAGAAAGAAAGGAAAGGAAAAAGGAAAGAGAGGAAAAGTATAATAATGTGGCTTATTGTTACAATGTACAAAGTCTAAATTCTTATAATAAAACCTTAATTTGCCTGCCTGAGTCCATGCTTTAAATAATAGATTTATATGAGTACTATTTGGAAGTTCTATTGCATAAAAATATTTGTCATAAAAATTATTTGACAAAAATAATGACATATTTATGGACTATTTATAATATAATTTATAAATATAATATTTATGGAGTACTAGGCATAGTTTTAGATGCATTTTAGGTATACTAAGTCAATTGTTCTGATGAAGGAATTAAACCTATGAGGTGGGTGCTATTATAATGCTTCATTTCATCTGTAGGGAAATGAAGGCTCAGGGAACTGTAATCTCTTGCCCTGGTTGATAGAGTGGGTAATAAACTCAGAACATCTAGCTCCAGAAGATAGTTTGTTACTTTTTGTAGATTTATAGAAATTTAAATATAATATGGATAATTCCTTTATACCTCTACCCAGTTACTCCTCTTGTTAAAATCCTGCATTATATGGTATAACTAAGGAACATGAAGTGGTCTGCTGACAGGAACTAACCTTCACACTAACCTGGATTATACTAGTTTCCTACCATTGCTCATTCTGTGTTTCAGGATCCCATTCAGGAAGTGACTCTGGATTGTGGGGTATCCCCAGTCTCCTCTGGGGCTGTGATAGTTTCTCAGAATTGTCTTTGATGATCATGATAGTCTTGAAGAGTACTAGTCAAGGGTGTTGTGAAGAACATTCCTCAGTTTGGGTTTATGAGATTTGTTTTTTCATGATTAGGATGGTGCTGTGATTTTGGGAGGCAGATTTGAGATGAAGTGCTGTTCTATACACATTGTGTCAGGGACACTCGCTGTCATCACGGCTAACCCCTAATGATACAGCCTCACAAACCTGGTTCAGGAAGTTTGTCTGGTTCCTTCATTTAAAATTACTGCTCTCCTCTCCTTTCTATGGTCTACTTTAAGGGGAAAAGTTACTAATTAAAGCTCATTTTAAGGGGTATGAATGGCGGGAACTAAGTGCCACCTACTTGGAGCAGGAAACAGGGTATTTATAATTATTTGTACTTCCTCTGTGACAGCTCTCATTTTCACCCCCTATTCTAAGCTACGTCTTACATTTTATCCTTTTTTTTTTTTACCACCTTAGCATACTATTCATGTACAGTAATGAAAAAACACAACTCTTTAACTAATTCTTGCTTTTTCTAGGTTCCAAAAATATATTAGAATTAAATCTGACCTCAAATACATTTGTTTAAAATTATTTTCCACTGGCTATTCTAAAATGTGTCACTAAAAGACAAATTAGAAACCAATGAATTTAATACAAAGTGCGTTAAGGACAATGTCTGGAACACAATAAATACCCTATAAACATAAGTTATTATTTTTATAAAATCATCTTCATGCCAGAGTACTTCATAAATAGCTTACCAGAAATATTCGTTCAAGTTGGTCCTGGATGTCTTTCATTCCTGGAAAAGCAGCAACTCCTTGGATCATTTCAACAAAGATGCAGCCAACTCCCCTAAAAAGTGAAGAAAGCATTGTTAAAAAAAAATAATGTAAATTGCTTAAAAAACAAAACATGGAATTGGAACATCTCTCTTACGGAAGAGAAACATGAATGAATCACATTCTCAGTGAGGGCCAAGCGCTGTGTCACATATACCATAAATTTCCTTTCCTCTCTGTCTCTACTGACCTGAAAGAACTTAATAGACATAACCATACTAGACTCAGAAAACAGTGGAAATCACTAAGACATTATACCTCAGTGACTTTACCTTAACAGCACACTGTCAAGAGATCCCTTGGTTTAAAACAAAAGCCTCCACTGTCTTGTTCCAATACCCATTAGCAAATCTGTTTCACATACTCTTAGTGGACTGCACTCTGTCTGTCTAGCAGTTCTCAAATCTCCAGAGGGTGGTTTTTAAAGTCATCTAGGGAGCTTTTAAAAATTGCTCATGATCTGAATATGAACCCCAGAAATTCTGTTTCAATCTGTCTAGGTTAGGCTCAAGGCAGCTATACTAAGAAACAACTCAGACAAGATTACCTTGCCCAAAAGTCATGCGTAAAGTATAAAAACCTGACTCAACTTGTTCCATTACCTAGAACTGTATACTTCATCTACTTGCTTGAGATATAAATCTAACCCAACCTCTACATCTAACTTAAATACCATCTCCTACATGGAAGTCATCTACAAACATGCCAGCAGCCAGTCTAGTTCTATTTTATGAGCTTATTTATTAAGTCTATTCACTAAACAAGTTATTTACTATGGTCAACTTCTTCTCCCAGCTTACAGTTCCTGATAGTCCAGCATCTCAGGAGACCTTGTCTCTCGGAACAACACGGCCAGCGCCTAACCCAGAAGAAACTACAAATGCACAGTGTGAACAGAGAGCCAGACAAATAATCTCTCGTGGGCTTGGAGAACATGTTACTGAGGGTGAGAAGGAAAGAAACAAAGGTAGACTGATAAGTCTCATTAATAACACTAGATAACTAGTAAAAATGACCAGCTTTCTGCAGATGAAGTTCCCTGAGTAGACCTGGTTCCTCCCTACCAGGGGAATGAATGTTCAGATAAAGCCTGCTTTTTTTTTTTTCTAGTTCATTCCCTTCCAGCAATTCTCCAAGTTTTCTTTTCCCCCTTCAATAACTCTACCTTGAGTGGGCTATATTTCCTGGAAGTATCCTAATAAAGTCACAAAAACACTGGAATACTTTTTCAATGACTGCACTCATTCAATTTGGGATGAACAAACCCGTGCCTTGAATTTATTTCAGACCTAACTGAGGTTAAGGACAAAGATCTACGACTCAATATCTGCCCCAGTTATTATCACTGTTGTGTATGTGAACACTGTTTTGAGTGAAAGAATAAATTATTAGAAATCTCTATTTTCTACATAATCCCTACCAAAGTTAAGCACAAGTGGTATACAGAGTTAAGATGACCACAAACAAATGGTCCATTATAAAATAAAAAATAATTCCATTTATATAATAATCTCAAATCTGTATTCAAACCTATCTAGGCAGATAACACATTTTTTTTCCCATTTAACAGACAGCATAGGTATTAAGAATTATTTTAGTAGCATATTAAAATGAATGTACATTTAAATATTGGGGTTTCAGGCAGCAAGATAAGAACACAAGTTTCTGTTTTGTCATTTTCCAAATTCCCCCCCCAAGAATTCTTTTCTAAGTCTACATTTGTATTATCTTCTTATGTAAGTGTGCATAAAATATCTTGACTCTTAAGTAACCACCTGTGTCATCTTCTTCCTTCCTTTTTTTTTCTTTTTTCAACATTTACCAATATGTGCTATTCATGATCTTTTGGCCTCAGTCTTTCCCACCACAAACAGCAACTCAAGAGAGTGAAAACCCTGAGCAGAACCCATAGCCACATTCATGATGGCGATCCGGCGGATCACGCTGGTGAGGTCATGTTGCTGTCATTCGTACTTACAGAATTTTTTGCCCACTACTTGTGCTTGGTCTGTATTATCTGCACAACACAAAGCTTAGGACAGTTTAAAGATAAGTCCCTGCTGTAACTCCTGTCAATAGGAATATGATGACGCAGCATTTCAACAGGCTCTTGCTGGTTTAGCCTGCTCAGGGATGTAGACTCTCATAGCTAATGAATGTTTCCTAGGACATCAGTTTACAAAGATACTTGAGGGTATACTAGTAAAACCAAGAGAATCATATTTAAAAGATACGTAAACTCAAGGAAATTAAAAAGCCGAATTATAAAGCATGTCAACATAAAAGCACATTATAGGAACTCCCTTTGTACCAAGCAACAAAAAGAGCTCTCAATTTTGTAAGAAGGGACTATTACGCTTGTTTCTTTTTTGTTGTTTTCATTTTTATACCCCTTGCACATTCTACTAGTGCTGTGCATTCTCTTTTGTGAAGGACTAAGTTGATTGTTCTCACTGAGGCACTGAGAAAGAATTTACCCACTTAAGATTTATACTTATAATATATAGTCTTATTTTAAGAAACATCTTTGATTTGTTGCTTCTTCTGGGGATTTGAATAATCATATAATTATCAACCACTTAGTCAAAATATTTCAAGAATAAGAACACATTTATAATTAAATGTGTGATAGGAAGCAATATGTTCAAACTTTTACCTTTGGGTTACCTGGGAAGGTAGTTTAAAACACCCATGTTCCCACTTCTTTCAATTTTTTACATTTAAAATTTCCAAATTGAATTTATGCCAAGATGTGTAAATAATTTTCCATCACAATTCAAAACAAAATTTTAAGTGGAAAGGACAATTCTTGTCATCATAAGCACTTTTTCTTAGCACATATTTGCTTTGAGCACCTTCTGAGGACTTCATGACTGAGAAAATTACTCTTTTACAAATTTAGCATGAATTTAAAACTATCGTAAATGGTTTTTTTTTTCAAGATTTATTTATTCATTTATGCACAGAAGAACTAAGGTATAAGCCAGAGGTGTAGAGGGTAAGAGGATACAGAAGAGACAGAGTGGGGAGCAGAACAGACAGTTTGACTGAAATTCACTGCTGAGGGGAGCAGTGGATGAGACAGGAGAGGTCTGCTGCACCATGGGGTCACCTCCCTGGGGATCAAATTCAAGCCACAGAGCATAGTGCAACAGTGTTGAGACTTAACCCCCTATGCTCCCAGGGAGACTCCTAAATGTCTATTTTTCAAAAGGGTAAAATGATAGAGCACAACATCTCCTTGGGGCTGTTACACAGAAATGGGTCATCTCATGTAAAGGAGTCATAGCAATTTGATGTACTTTTTCTTGGAAGAGCATGTGCAAGGCAGAGCTGCAGCTTTAGAATGTAGAAAGTCAGTGCTCAGGTTCTACTTAAATAACTTGGGCAGCTAGTTGAAGATTAATTAAGTTTGACATGAAGGTATTTAAAAACAGATACAACATACTTTATGGCAAAGGAATACAAGATAAAAGAATTATCTAAAGTACTAAATTTGGGGCAATGGTGGGAGGGAATATAGAATGCAGGGAAAGAGGAATTTGCAGGAATGAGGCAAAACTTTTTTTCCAGCAGAGAAGGGGAAAAGCAAACTCAATGTCACTTCATTGGAAGGGTCTCCCAATCTCTCAGCTGGGTTAGATCTCTGAATCTATGTGTATGTTACTTCCTGTGACAGTGACTTATTTACTTACTTGTAAATGTATTAACCATGATCACCTTTTGGAGATTAAGAATTTGGTCTTTTAGTTTAAAAAATATACAAATTAGTCAAAAAGATAATGACAAAATGGTAATCCTCCCAGCTCTGTATGAAGTAGGGCTGAGTCACAAAAGTCACATCTAATATGTACTGTAATGTACCTGTTTATTAAAGTCTTGTTGAGATTTTATGATGCAGGATAACTTTGTATATTACAACTAAAATAGGGATTGATTAGGCCCATGAATTCCCATATTCAACTATTTACAGTCTAACAAATGATTTTTGAAGGGAAATGCAGTGAATTTTCTCATGAAGACAATACCACAAGCAGTTAATCTACCCAATAGTTGATTATCCTACATGAGTAACTGTGAAATGGGACTTAGAAATTATCTATATACTTGACATTAATCTAATTTTAGCCATCAAAATAAAATATTATTCTCCTTCCTCAATTCTCAGGGCCATTTGCTAGGCAATGGTTTGGTTCAGTCTCGGTAGATAATAGAGAGACTGTAATATTTAAAATAGTGTCCAATTAAAATCTCAGAAATTCCAAAAGTCTAGCCTCTAATTTCATCCATTTATTACCTAACACTTGAGAGCCCTTTAAACAAAGATTGACGGCATAGAATACAAGGGGATCACAACACAGTGCAGTCTGTGTACTGAGTACATGCAGAGATAAGTGATCAGCTCTGACTAGCACCATGAGAGAAGCCTCCATCTTTTCATGAAGAATTACCTAATTGAAAGTTATGAGGTCTCTACTAAAATTCAGAGAATTATTTAGGCCCTTTCAGAGCCATAGGCATCCTTACAATGTTAGGAAACAGGGTTGCAGATAAAGACGGCTTCAAGCTGTTTCTGACCCAAGCACAGAGGATGAATAAAAGCACAATTCACTGTAAGTTAATTCTCTTGCCTTCCTCATTTTCAGCATCAGAGTAGCCTCAGAAATTTCCTCAAAGTTTATGTGTCCACCCAGAAACAGCATTTAAAGCAGTGCTTCTCCCCCTTAATGTGCATGCCAGTCATGTGGGACTCTTGTTAGCAAGTGATTCTGATTTACCAAGTCTGTGTTGAGGTCTGCAGTCCTGCATTTCCAACAACAATGCTGATGTTGTTGCTCTCAAGAACAAGAAATGAGCAGCAAGTCTAAAGGAATGATAGGAATTCTATTTAGAAAGCAGTATTATAATTCAGATCAATTCTTAGAACATGTATTCAGGTCCCCTTCAAAAGAAACATATTTTTTAAAAAGTAGACTTGCAAAATAAGTTAGATTAAATGCTAATCACATTCTC